AGACAAAACTACAGCAAAATAGTTCATTCCAACAATTAATATTGTTATGGTGTGATTTCCAAACTGAAATGTAAAGATTAATATCATAATCGGTATCGGAGCAGAATTGTGCAATCAGTAAATAATCACTCAAGATCAATGAATAATCATTAACTTATACTGAAGCACCGAACTTCAAATATTGAAATAAAAGGTAGTCGGGTCCTATTTGTTCGCCTGACATTTATTGTCAATTTCTAGAACATAATGTGCGATATTACCAATCATATGTATTTTTCACTACTGTTCCTGCCATATCAATCAGTCTGTTGATCTGATTAGATGTTGGTTTATTTTTTTAAAAGTGTATGTTATTCAGTCAAAATGACATGACATATTTGACCATTTTCATTCATAATCGTTATAGCTTACATATTACCGCAGGTCAATCATCGTGTCATACTTACATATACTTTTTTACATTCCTGGTATCATCATTGATTTTCAGTGATCCATTCATAGACTTATTATTCTCTTGCGTTGACGTTCTATATTGACAATATATGGTCAGGTAAATTTCTCGTTGACCTCTATACTGTTCATATCGCACAGTTAACAAACCGATTTACTACAACATATAAACAAAACCAGTTTCTATGAGTCAGAGTGTTAGGTGTATATCGCTTTTGTTAATGTACTTTCTTCATGACTTACAAAATTTAGAAATTTATTGCATGTACTCAATGATGAAGGGAGGTTTGCAAGTGTAAATAAACATATGTATATTTTATTTACCTTTCCATTAATTTTTGGTACTATTGTGTAAATAAACTTAAAATGCCACTGAAAATCATTATATGTTATCTTATCCCTGTATATTCATTTGTTATTTACTTGTTTTTTGCAAATTGTAGTTCTGTGAAAGATGGGCCGTAATCTCTAACAACTTATTAGTAAATTGTACTAATCTGGATAGGCAACTTACTAACCAATTTGCAAATATTTACGAAACTGGTTAGCAACGTCTACCAACATGTTAGTGTCTGTGTGGACAGTGAAATTCGCTAAGTTTAAAACAATTCAAATATTGTTCACATTAATTTAATCACAAGGGTAATGTTTATCATGTTTGTGTTCATAATACTGGAGGTGAGGTCAGGTGAAATTGGGTTTAACGTCGCGTCCAAGATTATTGCACTTATATAGCGACGTGCAGGCACATTTGTGTGTGTATGTGTGGCTGCTTGTACTAGTCCGGACTGATGCCGATTCATAGTGCTAGCTCACTGAGATACCATGCCGCAGTTTTTAACATGACTACCCCACTCAGACAGTATACTGACTCCGAGCCGACCAGTCCTTGTTTTAGCCCCTTAATGCCGAGCGCCAGACAGGGTAACAACAAGTACCATCAATATTAGCAAATATTCCCATGGGCGCTTATTAGAGCGAGGCGCTTATTACGTCAAATACTTTAGTTCTGTTTTTATGTATAAGAACCTATTTTATGCAATTTGCATTGCCTTGTTTACCTTTCCTTATGTTTTGATGTAATGCAAACATTTGAGAAAAATTCAGGTGAGCCTGCCTTATGGCACTACAGGAATTGTTTTCAGAAGATCAATTACAATTTTGTATTTTCTGTACAATTTACTGTTTGCTATGGCTTTTTTACATTGGTTAACATGGTTTGGTTAACAGTTGCTTGATAAATTGTCATTACCTTACTCATTGAGAAACCAAATTTTTACCCTTTGTCAATATATGTGTGTTTCTTATATTTTTAATAACAAGCTTTTAAAGATGTTATAAATTGTTTCAGGCACCTGGATTTCACAATGACACCAGATCAGACAAGTCATACAAAGGACTCTCCGGATGATGAATAATCCTCCCCAGAACAACTAACAGGTTCACCTCAGAAAGTGATGATTCTGAATGAATAATGCCACATCAGTGTGATTCTGTAGGTTGTTTTATTACGACATAAATCAAGTCTAAAGGAATCAATACCACAGCAGTGAGACTGTTTATGTGGTGTACACTGACGCTGACTATACAAATCTGAATGACTTTTGTGGTTTACTGCACAAACATAATTGACTTTAGATATTCTTCTACCTTGAAATTCTTCTGAGATTTGACTAATTTGTTTATTTAGAAAATGGCATTGAAGCATCTGTTTCTGTTTTTGAATGTTCTTGCAAACACCTCTGGTTACTGAACCAATGAAATGTCATAAAATCAATAAATATGATTTTTTATCTTAACAATTTTTCTGTTTTGCTTCTTTAAAGAAATATGATATTGATCATTCATAACATAGGTGCTAACATATATCAAATATACTAATGCCCTGAATGTTTTCCTACAATTAATACAGCTCACTGAACGAAGTTTTTAGTTCCATGTCAGTAGAAAAGTTACATTGATATTTTTATGTACCAGTACTTTATTAGGTGTTTTCTGTGGATGCCATTAGTCTTATGCACCCATTTGGGTTAATGATATTCTGTTTCGAACTTCAATGAAACTCGTCTGTCAAGATGTAACAAGTATTGATACAGTTCCAAAATAAACTTTTAATCTCTCCAGGAACAAAGGCCCAAGTGAGCACATAGCCAATGACTTTCATTTTTTTGTCAGAGTGAGTATGGTGTTATGCCACTTTATGAGCAAAATTCCAACAATATCATGATGGGTGACACCAAGCAATGTACCGATGTGGTGAATCGAATGCTTCAACCACTAGGCTAAAACAAACTGGGAATATGAAGATGATATGTAAGGATACCATCATACCAGGACTGAATGCTTTTCATTTAATACGCTGAACATCTAAATTGAAATATATATGAACTTGAAAAATGTTTTCACCAAAAGTACATGCCCATAGATCTCAACTTCAAGGGGATATTTACAACTAAAATAGCACAGAATATTACTACAGCTATCTGCTATGCCCAGGCTAACATTATTTACTAGGAGAAAGACATCTCGAAAAATTGCATCCGGATACCTGCCGGATACCTGCCGGATACCTTCAGCAATGTTCAATTTTCATGGTTAGTTTCCAATATATTTTTAGGTGTTTCACACTTAATTGAACAAAATGCACCCCTCAAATTGTGACATGTTTTTGGAAACTCAGAATGGGGTATCCGGTGCCGGATCCCTGGACACCCAGATTGAGGTATCCGGTGAGGTATCCGGTGCCGGATACCCGGATTCCAGGTGACATACTTTCCGGTGAGGTGTCCATGCCGAATACCACAGATCTGGTATCCGGCAAGGTATCTGCCACCGGATACCCGGACGCGTTTTGGGTAAGTGTCCGGTGGTATCCGGCAGGTATCCGGATACCGGAAACTGCATTTTTTTTGCTGTGATTACGTCCTGTCCAATAACTTTTAATAATGATAACTGCAGAAACTCGAAAATGAGATTCAGACTTATAAAATCCTTATAAACTACAACTTGAATGATTGACTAAATCATCCAAAACCCAAACCAGACCTCACCAAAACCCCTAGTCTCTGTACTTACCACCTCCTGATGAGTAGGCTGAGCAAGTCTCACAACAGCCATAGGCATTGTTTTCAATGTAACAAAGACCCTCTGTTCCTGAGTAATAACAGTGTCACAGTCAGAGAAACGATCACCATATGTGCAATTTGCTGGAAAACATACAATTCAATAATATGAATATTGACGAAATACACACTTAATTCTTTTTCAAAAACAAATTATTTGCTGCATCAAAAATATCAGCTCAGTCACCCCCACCCCCAACCCACCACCACCACATCACTCCACCCACGATCCCATAGACAGCACCATTACAAAGTATTCCCAATTGGAACATGATATTTTCTCTGTACATATCGAATACATGAAACATGTAGATGAAAAGCACATTAGATTTATACTTAGAAATAGTGTACATTCTGTACAATATGCTTGAAATGACTTAACGAGAGACTACTATCATTAAGAAATAAGTACCGTCATTTCTCTTGTAGACAGGACAGGTCTCACAGCAGGCCGTCAAATAACCAGGATTGTAGCACAAACGTGGTGTTGCACTTATCAGCTCAGCACATGTTCTATTGGCCGGGTAAACGATTGGCTGGTTCCCAAAGAGACAGTCAGCTGAAATTGTGGGCAGGTTTCCGAAAGTGATCATTGCATTCAAGGAAAAGATGTCGTCCGAGATATTATGGCGCTCTCTAACGAGGAATAGCATACACACCCAGAAAAAAGTCAAGTACCACTTACTATTTCTTAAATTTGTATCCTGTATTAATGTTCTGACGACAAACATTTGTTTTTGTTCACCGTGTGACATACTCGAATTGAAATACAGAATATCGAATATTTATGATCATTAATTTGTTTTGTGACCGTTTCATGACAATATGACAATGACTACCATCTCAGATGCTCCTTTGCTTCTTTAAATGATATTATGTACATTTTTTTTGGTATCGATTGGTGGTCTGATGTGCTACGACACATTTGGCAAAGTTGCATCCCTTAGTGCTTCCAAGATCCACTGCTAGTGGATTCGAATTCACAGAATCACCTTTGTTATGATCCGTATTTTGTCAGCATCATACCCATGCTCCCGAGAAGCGATTCCTCCGACTTATGTGTAAACGTATACTTCAATAACTTACTATTGTTTTGTTCTGGTGCATCTATGGAAAACACACAGTGTCCAGCAACACACCACTGAAATCACAGTGCAACACATATAACACTACTAATGATAATAATAACAACAATTTATGAAACATTTATAGCAATTGCTACGCCTATCAACTTATACAGTCCAATTTCATGAACATGTTTACATTCAATTTCCATTCACAGTTCCCTTGGAAGTGCATGCAAATGTTAACATTGGTTAAGTACAGACACATATGCACGTTCAGATGGTGTACCTTTTTATCGCCACATGGCGTTCCGTCTGCAGCGTTTCGGGACGATTTAAGCTGTTCCTTGCCACAGACCATTCTCTTGCATATGTTTTCTGAATTACTTATGTTGAAATCCTGTAAATGTCATGTTCAGTAGTGAGTAAAATGTCTATCGTGATAATGGAAATATAGCAGAAAGACAGTTTTACACCTGTCTAGTATATGATGGACCAAGCAGGATTTCTTCTAATGCTAATAAATATATTTTTCGTACTGATCGCAAGACGAAGCCTGGCCCAAACATCATTTGACACTGCGTGTGAGCGTCGTAGAGCTGCCCCGGCATCGTCCCCGTGATGTTTGTCACAGAAGCAGGCTCGAGACTCGTCTGTAGGCATTGCTGTTGGGCATTTGAACTGTAAAATATACGATACTGAATAGGAAATATCACGGCTGTATTATGTTATATGGATATACTAATGGGCATAGGCACCAGCACATATTGTAAAATGTCACAATACTGTAGGTGAGGTGAGGAGAAATATTCTTTTTATGTCGCGTCCAAGATTATTGCACTTATATAGCGATGTGCATGCACGTGGGTGTGTATGTGTGTGTGTGTGTGTGCGTGTGCGTGCGTGCGTGCGTGCGTGCGTGTGTGTGTGCGTGCGTGCGCGTTTGTGGCTCCTTGTAATAGTCCGGACTGATGCCGATTGATAGTGCTAGCCCACTAAGATACCATGCCGCAGTTTAACATGAATACCCCTCTCAGACACAGTATACTGACTCCGAGCCGACCAGTCCTTGTTTTAGCCCCTTAATGCCGAGCGCCAGACAGGGTAACAACAAGTACCATCTTTCAAGGTCTATTCGCATGACGCGGCCGGGGTCGAACCCCGGACCTTCCGCTCTCCGGTGGACGCTCTACAACTAGACCACGGATGCGGTCCATAATGCTGTAAATACGTTACACAGAGTTATTAATTTTGCCTTAGCTGCGCCAGCAACCGACGGTCTTGGTTTCGGATTCCAGTGAACACACCACCACACATATTCACTCCTAACAATGTGTCACCTTTACCAATCACCTTTCGCACTAACCAAGTTGAAAATATATTGGTTTGGAAAACATATTTTAACAGGGCTAATGGAAAACAACTCACTGAAACTCAGCTTTTATTGTAAATAATACTTTATAATTGACAAGTTGATTTTGGCTAAATCAAAGGAAATAGTAATGTATTCATAGTCAGGAAAGAAATGCCGTGGACAAAGGTAATGAAATAATTCTTAGATACACCTAACAAATTTATAGTATTAGATGACTTATCATGGGCAAGCACACAACCACTTTGGCATACACCGTATAAAATGAATCACGTGAAAAGCTGTCGACAGCAAATGTCTGACACCCCAAAAAGAGTCGGATTATTCCAGATCTTCAGTTATAAAGTGTTCATTTCACATATAGGTTTGAGTGTTAAGGTTGTTTTTATTATAGCACCAAATTTTTATATAAGATAGCTACACGTTAAATCGCAAAGAAGATGAAGAACGAAGCGTGGTTTATTTCACGATAAAACATTGTTCTATCATGACGTCATTTCTGGAGATTCGAACATGCGCTCGTAATCTGATGACGTCGTAAATTGGATGACGTTATTTTTGAGAGGTAAGTGTCAAGTGAGTTGTTCCCCATAGATGTAGCTGGACACAGCAGATACACGCAATGGCCAAACGATCGTATCCAAAAGTGGAAGAGATATGACAATCGGTATTGGAAGAAACGGTGCAGATAATCTACGAGACAGTTGTGATAATACCAAACTTAACCCCCCTTGTACACAAAATGGAATTGTCCGACATTGCCGAGGTTTGACTGTATTCAGGGAGTCATCATTATTTTAAATATGGATTACTGTCTTTAAAGCTTGTACAATTTATTGACATCCTTCAAAAGGCTGTACAAAATGTTCATATCTCATATATGATTTAAACGTCTCGTGGTCGTTGTTTTATCTTACAGTTTATTCTCCCTGCAGTGTTTTATTGTACGATAAATAACTCCCTCTCGTCGTTATTTCTTAAATATGTCGAGTTCAAACGATATACATATTTTATAATGCACACACAAATCGTCTTTACAAGTAAAATTCACCTAATAGATAAAGAAACTACCATCTCACTTTTAAATCCTGATCCAAAATCTAGCTTGGCTACATTTAAACAAAATGGTTAACTGTTTATAGTAAAACCTTGTTAACCTGAGGCTCCCATCAAATAAAACGTATAAAAACATGTACCGTATTCGACGTAATAAGCGCCAAGGGCGCTTTCAAAATTAGAAATAGGGGGCTCTTATTAGAATATTATTTTGGTGAAAAAAAACCCAGGGTTGAAAGATAAATTTTGTGGTTTAAGATGACAGCCTGAAATCAGCAAATATCGCCGTTGGCGCTTATTGGAGCGGGGCGCTTATTACGTCGAATACGGTAATTGATCGCATGATCAGGAACAGTTAATATAGTGGTCACCACTTCATTATACCTGTCTGCCTGTCTGTCTGTCTGTCTGTCTATCCGTCTGTTTGGAAATACATGTATGGTACCCCCATCTCCCATGTCGATGTGTGTCAGGTTTCTATTCCATTTATTTTCTTTTTCACTGTTTCGTCTTTCATACCAACCCGTTTGTCAGGATTCCTTGGATGAAGGTTTGAAAGTAGCGTGACGAGCATGTAGAAAAGACGTAGTAGTTGTTGTGGTCAAGAACATGGGTCGTGCTGTACCCGCTGCCGGTCATGATGTACTCGTATGTAGAGTTACACGCGTTGTTGTATTCCCCGTCATGCCAGGCGCTGAGCCTGCGAAATACCAGGTTCGATTTACAAGATATATTCATCTCTCTTCATCATCCTATTTTTATCAATATTTTAGCACCATCCCATGCGTTTCACACACAGCACCAATGAAGGGATTTAACCCAAGAAATTTGTATGCTCAGAAATTGCTTTATTCACACAGTTAAGCGTCCGTGAAGATCCGGGGTAGAATAGGTCTTCAGCAACCCTTACTTGCCCTAAAAGGTGACAATGCTTGTAGTAAGAGGCGATTAACGGGATCGGGTGGTCAGGCTCGCTGACTTGGTTGAAGCATGTCATCGATCCCCATTGTGTCCCGATGCTCATGACATCAATCATTGGATTGTCTCGATTATTTACAGACAGAGTGCGACGTAAAACAACAAACTAACCAACCAACTTGAGAATAGGCTAACATGAATAGCAACAGATGTCCAGTACATGTGTCTTTTCCGGGTTTTGCATGTCGCGTCCGATGTATATATTAGTAATCTAGCATAGATTCGAAATCAACGGCGACCAATAAATATGAACTATTAAAAAAACCATGGTAAACTATACATTAAAAACACTTACGCATGTCCGACTTCGTGTGTTGTGACGAGCATGTCGTCAACCAGGTTGTCAGTGTATTCCACAGCTGACACACTGTAATTTGGTGTTTCACATATTGTTCCTACATATGCATATCCTGTGACAAAACGACGATGGAAACTGAGCATGAAACACATTAACATATAGCAGGAAAGCGTATGTTTTTAAACCTTCTTTAGAAATATTCCAGGAATATCACAACGGGTGTCCCTAGAAATGGGCTTCAAACCCCGTCTTCAGCGTGATGAGCGAACGCTTCAACCACCAGGTTACCCAACCACCTCATGTATCAAGAAATACCTGCTGTTGCCATTTGCATTGCTTACCGTATAACGGTAGACTCAATTATGAAGGTTACAGTGATTATATGCATTTAGGATGATGCGAAATATGTGGATATCCGGATGTATTGTTTTCTACCTGAATACACAAAACGCACAGTAGCTGGATGTTCTGGGAAGAACCGATGAACAAGAAAATGACAATACCTTTAACATTGGGTAAAGAACAACACATATCTTAAGATGATCCTTAGCCATTTCATATCTCAATTAAACAGAGGTATATTAGTTTTCCTGAAGAAAATCCAGAGGCTATATGAGTAATGTCTTTCTAAACACGAATAATTATAATATAATATGACCACAATTAGTTTTCCTTTTGAGTACACATCAAGGTATCCCCGAACCAAGTGTTACCAAAGGCATGTATACATTGCTAAAATATTTAGATTCTCAATCCAAAATCAAAAAGAAAATATACTACGACTCACCAAGCAGGTTTCTCGTTTGTCCGGTTTTCGCCACAATGAACAGATCGTTCCTAAAACGAATAGGTAACATGACATGATCTTTGAGCACCGACAGAGATTTAGCAGGACAGAGTATCACCATATTAATGATAGCCCTGGATTCTTTAATTGATAGAGTTAATTACGGTTAAGCATAATTTCAGTCATATATCCACGTGTTAGATTTATGTTTGATGTTCTAAAGCGTCAGTAGCCAAATTGCCTTGTGTATTTTTTTCTTCGATTCATTGAAAATATTTCGATTCCGATACTGACTTTTAGCTCATGTTTTGTTGTGAACCATGAATATGCTGCCGCCAGAAGACTCCTGGACATCTTGAGCCTGATACCATGTCAGTATTTAAAATGTTTTAAAGCTGAATTTTGAACCGATGTTGAGTGTTCCTTCCTATAAAGTGTTCATTGCATGGCTGTAAATGGCTCTACCCTTGACCCGATGTGAGGGTCTCAGACGTGAACCTATTACCACAATACCGGAAACATAATCAGGGCGAATTTGGGATTCCAGGCTACGATAATCTGATGTAAGTGGTAACATTTGTAAATGCAGAAATAACGAGATGTTTACCCAGAACATTGGGGGAAAAAAAGGTAGTGGGATAGAAAGAAAAAGGGTTGTTTGGAGATATCAAGAAAAGCCGATCTAGAACGGACAGAGTGAGCGAGTTCAAATTCAACCCTGCATCACCAGTGCTTCAGACAAAAAGCAAAGAGAACTAATGAATGAAAACAAACACAAGTACAACACGGGCAACTAATACAGAGAGAACACAACAGGGAATAAGATGGTCAGGGAAATGTGTGAATTTAATATTCTTTAAATATACTTTAAGCTGATTGTGACAACTCACGCTGTGAACACAATAATGTGGTCATTGTCAGGGAATCCTGGTGTGTCAGCCTTCCATTGCCTTGTGCCACTGAGAAGTTTATCACCATCTATCTTCGTTTCATTAACTACAGCACTTTGGAACGGTCGTGGTAACTGCACATCCTAAAATGGTATATGGAGTAAAATGATACATACAAAATAATGATGCATGGAGAACCATGATACATACATAATAATGATACATGAAGTACAACGATACATACAAAATAATGATACATGAAGTATCATGATACATACATATTAATAATACACGGAATACCATGATACATACAAAATAATGATATATGGAGTACCATGATATATACAAAATAATGATGCACGGAGCATCATGATACACACATAATAATGATACATGGAGTACCATGATACATACAAAATAATGATACATGGAGTACCATGATACATACAAAATAATGATACATGGAGCACCATGATACATACATAATAATGATACATGGAGTACCATGATACATACAAAATAATGATACATGGAGTACCATGATACATACAAAATAATGATACATGGAGTACCATGATACACACATAATAATGATACATGGAGTACCATGATGCATACATAATAATGATACACGGAGTACCATGATACATACATAATAATGATACATGGAGTACCATGATACACACATAATAATGATACATGGAGTACCATGATACATACATAATAATGATACATGGAGCACCATGATACATACATAATAATGATACATGGAGCACCATGATACATACATAATAATGATACATGGAGTACCATGATACATACATAATAATGATACATGGAGTACCATGATACACACATAATAATGATACATGGAGTACCATGATACATACATAATAATGATACATGGAGCACCATGATACATACATAATAATGATACATGGAGTACCATGATACATACATAATAATGATACATGGAGTTCCATGATACATACACAATGATGATACATGGAGTACCATGATACACACATAATAATGATACATGGAGTACCATGATACATACATAATAATGATACATGGAGCACCATGATACATACATAATAATGATACATGGAGTACCATGATACATACATAATAATGATACACGGAGTACCATGATACATACATAATAATGATACACAGAGTACCATGACACATACATACTGATGATACATGGAGTACCTAGAGACATACATGTATAACAAAACGATACATAGTGGAAGGTTACATGTCTTAAATTAGTGATTGAAGTTGTTTATATCCAACAGAAATCCTAGGCTCACATATTGGAGTGAATCAGATTGTTTAATTATTAACGATAATATCAATATTGTCTTATCATAACCATGTTTTTGGAAATTTAGTAATCCTGTGTTTGTTGTTATTGTGCTTTTGAAAATGGTTTATCTAGCTACTTTCTTTGGGGTAAATCTACCGTCATAGCTAAGCTGAATTGTGTTTGGTACATATGAACTGTGATGATAGGTGATGTCAACATAATACCTTCACACAAGGTAAACTTAGTGTCACCTATACAGTGACGCTATCAGATATCACCATCAATACAGCGTAAAATTAAAAAGTTGTTACTTATAATATAACACGTCAGTGTTTGTTTACTTAACACCCCTGGAGGCAAACATCTTACCTCAATAATATATCCTACCAGGTTTATGTTGTACAGAGGGGACGCCTTCTTAAAACGGAGATCTACCTGTTATGGAAAGGGAAATAGTATGTTAAGGTTACTTAACAGGAAAAATGATAATAAGATCATGACAACATCATTTTATATGAGGCGTCACGTTCATGAAGACATAAACCTGTTCTACTTAAAAGGTATTATTTAAATTGATAGCGAACTCCTTCTGGAGACATTTCCTTCTGGTTTCCATCTAAAAGGAACTTGATGTATAGAACTATCTGTACAATCGACACAGGCGTTGTTCTGTTGATCTTAATTGATTATGGGCGCATCATACAGATTATATCAATTGCCATTCAACATTTTCATATTAGTTTGAAAAGTGGTGACACATACAAATGCATAATACGGTTGGTTCTCCTCCTTAATAACGCAGGTAACCTCGATGTTAGCCATGTGAATCACATCCTGGTATTCGGCTGTTCCCTGAAAGAAAATTAAAAGGTATGTGGTAATAATTACAACAGGAAATGACATTCTTTATCAATAGGAGAGTGTCGTTTTTGAATTGTGCTAATGCCTATCTAACCCTTATGCATATCAGGTTAATATGAGCTTAATGACATATATTTTCCAAAGTTAGCAAGTGACGTATTTGCAGATATAGGTGCGACACTTCTTTCTTTGCTTTTTGAAACGCCGGTATGTATCACGGACGGTTGTTTCCTTGAAGATTAAATATTCTTGTGCTAATAAACAAGACAGAAATAAACATGGTTAAGATTGTAAAACATTTTTTGTTTTATTTTGTTTGTTGTTTTACGCCGGACTCAATATTTCAGCCATATTTCAGTGTTTTTTAAACATTCTCGTCTGGACAAGACAATCCAATGAAAGACATTAAGAACATCGAGATACGCAATTGCTTTGTTTGTTTGCTTGTTGCTCAACGCCCCACCCAGCATTATTCCAGATATATGACGGCGGTTTGTAAATATTTCTAAGATAAAAGTGAAAAATGATTTTATCAATTTGAAAATGAAATATGCAAATGATATTTTGACAATTGAATACACACCCCACCCTATAGATAATGTAAAAATACATTTTGACTTCGTTAAATGTCAAGATTGATTATTGCATCGATAAAAGTCTCACAAACAGTTCTGGGTTAGTTTCTTGTATTTTCTACACCCGTACATGCCCTTTTGCTAATATGCGTAAACGATCTCTGTAAAAATTGATATCATGAATATTTACCATACTACATACGTTCTCATCTAATCTACATTATAACAACTCTTGCAACAAATACTGAGTTATGACAGCATTATTACCTCCAGCTCCAACACTGTATCTCTGACGATGATTGGGTTCCCCTTCTCATCCTGTCTAGATACATATACGGGGGTTGTTTTCTTCACTGACGTGCTGGTCTCCAACTGAAGAGTGACGGAGTCATTGTGTGTCCTTACACGCACTGTGAACTCCCTGGGGAGAGTACAGTCTCTCAACCCTGGATTTGGCTTTAGAATGTCAACGATAGCTCCTATACCTAGAAGGAAGAACGATATATGTCAGATATTTCATTCCAAATGAAGGTTGTATTCTCAAATATAATTCTTCACAGATAATTCCAGCTTGGTAAGTGGTCTAATGAAGTATGTGGTATAAGAGCACTTTGGAAAAAAAAAAAAATGCTATCACAACAATGCAACCACTGAAGTGTTAAATACTATCAATAATAATCCAAAATTAACGCAGTAACATAAACATATTCATGTATACCATTTCAAAAGTTATATTTAATGCATGTTACCTGTCATCTTCCAAGCTAAAACA